CTGTGCGCTGCTCTGGTTTCACCAGAAGCGGCTTAGTCCTGCTGGCCACGTGACCCGAAAGCTGTACACCATCTCCTCGGCCAGTAAAGCGAGATGAGCGCCGCAACCCCAGAGTCGGCCACGACTGGACCTAACAGTCAGGGGTCCCTTTACCTTTACAACAAGGAAATCAGCCCAGAGTGCTCACTGGAAGGACAGATCCTGAAGCTGAGGCTCCAATACTTTGGCCACTCATGAGAAGAGAAGACTCCCTGGAAAAGACCCTGATGCTGGGAAAAGATGGAGGGCACAAGGAGAAGGGGACGACAGAGGACGAGATGGTGGGACAGTGTTGTCGAAGCGACCAGCATGAGTTTGACCAAACTGCGGGGAGGCAGTGGAAGACAGGAGTGCCTGGCGTGCTCTGGTCCAGGGGGGTCACGAAGAGTCGGACACAACTAAATAAATGACTAAACAACAGCAGCAGCAGCAACGATCAGGCAGCTTCACTGAGCTCTTGCCAAGATTCTGTTCAAACTCCTGTCTGGTGCAGTTATACTGTTTGCAACAGCAGCCGTCGAGCCAGAATGTGTTTCCCGGAACATGGAGCCACCCTGTATCTGTGGCATTTTCCGTGGCCTCATCCAACCCTTCCCCCTTTGACCTGCGGTTGGTACGTGTTTTGCGACTGCCTCCCTCTTGCAGACTGGAAGCAAAGGGCTAATCTCTGAAGTCAGCAGTGATGACACGATGCAAATTTGGGTTACGCAAGGTTAAAAACTCACTATGAAAATAGAAAGGTGTGTGTGTGTGTGTCTGGGTACTGCTGTGTAAGTAAACAGACTCAGAACCAGCCTGCTATTGACTACGCACAAACTGAAATGGGAAGCCACAAAAAAGGGAGACCGGAGATACTACTATTTATTTTGTTTGTGAACCTATGAAGCATTGGTGTGGTGTAGGGGGTTAGAGTGTTGGACAAGGACCTGGGAGACCAGGATGAAATCCTCGCTCACCCAGTACGTTTCCAAGCACAGTTCAAAGTGTTGGTGCTGACCTTTAAAGCCCTAAACGGCCTCGGTCCAGTATATCTGAAGGAGCGTCTCCACCCCCATCGTTCTGCCCAGACACTGAGGTCCAGCGCCAAGGGCCTTCTGGTGGTTCCCTCACTGCGAGAAGCAAGGTTACAGGGAACCAGACAGAGGGCCTTCTTGGTGGTGGCACCCGCCCTGTGGAACGCCCTCCCACCAGATGTCAAAGAGAAAAACAACTACCAGACTTTTAGAAGCCATCTGAAGGCAGCCCTGTTTAGGGAAGCTTTTAATGTTTAATAGGTTATTGTATTTTAGTGTTCTGTTGGAAGCCGCCCAGAGTGGCTGGGGAAACCCACCTTTGGAGCATTTCAAAATGCAATTTTTTAAAATTAAAAAAAAAAACACAATAAAGAAAATAAAAGCAAGAGAACATATAAAGCTCTGCCTCTGGGGAAAAGAGAACTAACAGCCCACCGAACCAGAGAGGCTGTTGCTTCCTGCTGAAGTTTGTGATTTGCAAGTTTTTGCTCTTATTATTATTTTTAATGCCTTTATATCCCACCAAGTCGGGCTTCAAGGCAGCTTACAGCATTTAAAAACAGCATTATAAAATGCAAAGCAAAAAAATAATAAAAGTAAACAGGTTGGAATAATTGAAATACATTAGGAAACACGCTCAGAACCAGCAGTTAAGTACAGTTTGCCTAAGGAGCAGCCCAGTTATCAGCATCACCTGCATCTTAATTTCCTGAACAGGAAGGTCTGAGCCTACCAGCAGAAGGATAACAAGGAGGGAGCCAGTCTGACCTCTCTTGGGAGGGAATTCCACAGTATGGGAGCAACCACGGAAAAGGCTCTGCCTTGTGTCACTACCAGGTGTGGTTCAGATGTCGATGGGACCTAGAGAAGCTGCTCACCTGATATAATCGCATAAGCACTGTTCCAGACTATTTTTCATTCTCATGTACATTATATCAATTCGAAAGAAAGATTCAAGGACTTTCAGGGACTTCAGTTTGATAGTTTTGGTGTTTTGCATTATTTCATAAAGTTTTCTATACTGTAATTGTTTTTGGCCATCGTGTTGCTTTCGATATTGCTGACACCTGAGGACATGGGCAGATTCGTACAGGGAGATGCACCCCTCCTTTTTTCCAACAGGCTTTTCCATTTTTTTAAAAAATGGACCTAAAACAGCCACGTCTTCTGCCCTGACAAGCAGCAGCGCTGAGAAGGAGGGAGGGAGGAATGGGAACTGACTGATAAGAAACATACCAATGTAAAAAGAGCTTGTCAGATCGGGCAGGGGCCAATCAGAGGCCTTTGAGAAGCCAGCAAACAGGATCTGAGCACAATTTCACTCTCCTCCCCCGTGGCTTCCAGCAGTTGGGGTTCAGAGACATTGCTGCAGAGCTAGTAGCCATCGATAGCCCTCTCCTCCCTCCATGATTTTGTCTAAACCTCTTTTAATAATAATAAGAATAATTTATTATTTATACCCCGCCCATCTGGCTGGGTTTCCCCAGCCACTCTGGGCGGCTTCCAACTAAATATTTAAAAACAATACAGCATTAGACATTAAAAACTTCCCTAAAGAGGGCTGCCTTCAGTTGTCTTTTAAAAGTAAAATAGTTGTTTATTGCCTTGACATCTGCTGGGAGGGCGTTCCACAGGGTGGGTGCCACTACCGAGAAGGCCCTCTGCCTGGTTCCCTGTAGCCTTACTTCTCGCAATGAGGGAACCGCCAGAAGGCCCTCGGAGCTGGATCTCAGTGTCCGGGCTGAACGATGGGGGTGGAGACGCTCCTTCAGGTATACAGGATTGAGGTCGTTTAGGGCTTTCAAGGTCAGCACCAACACTTTCAATTGTGTTCGGAAATGTACTGGGAGCCAATGCAGATCTCTCAGAACCAGTGGCCACTCCCAGTCCCCAGTCCAGGTGCCACATTCTGGATTAGTTGTAGTTTTCGGGTCACCTTCAAAGGTAGCCCCACGTACAGCGCATGGGAGTAGTCCAAGCAAGAGATAACTAGAGCATGTTCCACTATGGCGAGACACTCCGCGGGCAGATAGGGTCTCAGCCTACGTACCAGATGGAGCTGGTAAGCAGCTGCCCTGGACACAGAATTAACCTGTGCCTCCATGGACAACTGTGAGTCCAGAATGACTCCCAGGCTGCGCACCTGGCCCTTCAGGGGCACAGTTACCCCATTCAGGACCAGGGAGTCCTCCACACCAGCCCGCCCCCTGTCCCCCTAGAACAGTACTTCTGTCTTGTCAAGATTCAGCCTCAATCCGTTAGCTGCCGTCCATCCTCCAACCGCCTCCAGACACTCACACAGGACCTTCACCGCCCTCACTGGTTCTGATTTAAAAGAGAGGTAGAGCTGGGTATCATCCGCATACTGATGAACACCCAAGCTTGGATTTAAAGTCATCCAAGCTGGTCACCATTGTTGTCTCCTGTGATTTAAGGCAGAGACTTCTCACGCTCTCTCACCTGAAACGCCAAATGACCGTTCGACTTACTTTGAGGAGCCAGGTGAGCACCGAGTCGCGGTATGGGACAAACTTGTTCTTGTTTTTCCCGGCGGCCTGATCCGCGAGGGCAGAAATGACCAACCCGAGAGTCGTGAGGGACCTGCATGGGGGAAGAAAGCGTTTTGAAATCACATGTAGCATCATCTGGAGGACAACTTCCAAAGCTTAGCAGCATCTGACCTAGTCAAACGGGCAACATATGAGCTTCACATAACTGGAATCTTGCTTTTAGCAACGAAACTCTCCCATGCTCCCCTGACCGTTAGGTCCAGTCGTGGCCAACTCTGGGGTTGTGACGCTCATCTCGCTTTATTGGCCGAGGGAGCTGGCTTCCAGCTTCCAGGTCATGTGGCCAGCATGACGAAGCCGCTTCTGGCAAACCAGAGCAGCGCACGGAAACGCCGTTTGGGCAGGAGCAGGGACCGAGCAACGGGAGCTCACCCCGTCGTGGGGATTCGAACTGCTGACCTTCTGATCGGCAAGTCCTAGGCTCTGTGGTTTAACCCACAGCGCCACCTGCGTCCCTTATGATGGGATTAGGAATAACCAAAACAGACATAATACAGTGGTACCTTGGTTTACGAACCTGGTTTACGAATCCGTTCCGGAAGTCCATTTTTAAACCAAAGTGTTCTTAAAGCAAGGTGTGCTTTCCCATGGCAGTGGGGGACTCAGTTTATAAATGGAACACACTCAACAGGAAGTGGAACATGTTCTGCTTCCAAGGCAAAGTTCACAAACCAAAACACCTACTTCTGGGTTTGCAGTGTCCTTAATCCAAGTTGTTCATAAACCAAGCTGTTCTTAAACCAAGGTACCACTGTATTTGCCAAGCACAATATGGAGCAATACGGTTAAAATAAAATAAAAAACACAGGAAGAAGAAAAGAGAACTTCACTTGCGCACCATAAATTATTAAATGTGTCAACACAAATTGAAGTTAAAAATATTATAGATGTGACAAGATTGGATTGTAACTGGATTGAATAATATTTTGGAAGCGGGATGAAAGGGAACTATTAAACCTTGGAATCTAGCACACAGGGGGGGGCACTTCAATTATGTAATTGGCTATATAATTGATTGGTATTTGAACTGGTATTGTAATTCGGTATTGATATAATAAGGCTTATATTGGACTTTTGCTATTGAAAACTAATAAAAGCTATTTATGTTTAAAAAATAGGAAAAGTTAAGGATTTCTTCACGCAATTCATCTCTGCACCACACACACCTGCCATCCACAAAAGCAAAATAAATTCAGCCCAGAGACCCGTTCTAACTACCCTAATCCAGGTGTCAAAGACGGGCATTGCTGCTCCTGTGAGATCAAGCGCACTGATCCTCCTACGTCCTTTTGTCTCTTGCTGCTATTCTCGTGGATTAACGGAATGCACTGGGGCACACGAACCCCTTCCCATTATTCATCCCTTTAAAGTATTCAGCGCCCTATGAACCCAAGATTTTACTTGTTGATGTTGCTTCCTTCCTTCAGCCGGTCACCCGCAGCCCCGGTCTTGGTGGCTCTTTCGCTGCCTGCCAGGTCAACCAGGCTCAGCTTGCCCACCTTCTCGCCAGACGTCTGCGGGACAAAGAGTGGGCAGTTAGACCAGAAACGTAGCTCCTGAACTCGGGCCCAAGCGACACGGTTCAGGGCACCTCCGCTTTAGGTGGAAGAAGACAAGGGAGGATGCTTCGGGAAATGGTTGGAGGGGAAGAAAACTGTGGCGCCAAAGGGATAGCGCATTTATTTATTTGACATTATGCAAACTGCTCAATTGTAAAAGCAGCTAGGTCAGGGGCTTCCGAAGGGGGAGGTGGGGTTATCAGGAGAGGGGGCGCTAAGAGGCACGGGGGCAGCTAAAGAGACCTAGAGGGTATCAGTGGATCATGTCCATCTATATGTAGAAGATAATAATGCATTAAATGTCAAAGCAGTGAAGAAAATGGTAGAAATTAGAAAAATGAAATTACCGTATTTTTCGCCCCATAGGACGCACCTAGTTTTTTTGGGGGGGGGAATAAAGGGGGAAAAAATTATTTCCCCCCCAGGTGCGGGGGCTTCCCCCGACCCCAGCCCACAGAACAGGCTGCTGCCCCAAGCCTTGCGCGCCCGGCGGGACCTCCTGCAGGGCGCGCGAGGCTTGCCGACATCTGCCAGAAGCACGGGCGGGCTCTGCAGCTCGCCCCGTGCTTCGGGTGGCAGGGTGCCGCCCCAAGCCTTGCACGCCCGGCGGGACGCATCGCCAGGCACGCGAGGCTTGCGGACATCTGCCCGAAGCAGGGGGCAGGCTCCGCAGCTCGCCCCCTGCTTTGGGCTGCAGGCTGCCGCCCCAAGCCTTGTGTGCCCAGCGGGAACTCCCCCCGGGAGTGCAAGGCTTGCGGATAGCTGCCTGAAGCCTGGAGAGCGAGAGGGGTCGGTGCGCACCGACGCCTCTCGCTCTCCAGGCTTCAGCAAAAGCCTGCATTCACCCCATAGGATGCACACACATTTCCCCTTCATTTTTGGAGGGGAAAAAGTGCGTCCTATAGGGCAAAAAATATGGTATTTTAACTAAATTTTGAATAAACGTGCAATTAATTGCCACTGCTTTGAAATTTAATGCATTATGCTCCACATACATATGTGTGTGTGTACTTTAAATTGTAAAACAGAAAACTTAATAAAAAAATTATGTGTGTATGTGTATGCGCGCACGCACACACATACACACAATTTCTATTAAATTTTCTGTTTTACAATTTAAAATACTCATTTTATATCCTTAAGATAGCAATGATTTCCCTTCTTCTTTCCATGGTTCATTTTACATATCATAAATCCCTGCATATTTTACAAAAACTATACCATCAGTATTCCATTCTTGAATCCGTCAAAATTTAATTACACTGTTGAATTTATCTTAATGCTGCCAGCGTTTTCAGCTGTACACAATTATTTCCCATATATTCAATAAACGTTTTCCAGCCTTCCTTAAACATATGTTTTTCTTCTTCTCTTATTCTCTATGTTAAGAATACAGACATTAACATTATTATCCTTAACATTATCCTCCTCCTTAGTGGGTTATGCAAACCTCTATTTTGAAAGGTGGTTTTTATAGGCTAGGGGGCCCTGAGGATAAGTTTGTGGAACCAGGGGGGTGGGCAGTGGCCCCCCAAAATGAACATCACAGTTGAGTGGCGATTAGAACCCTGGTCTTAGTAAGTACCCTTCTTCACCTCTTACGACTACAGATCCTTTACCAAGGAAATTCAAAGATAACATAGCCACTTACGCAGGTTTCAAATGCAGGCAAACCTTGCTGGCCCTCAATTTCCTTCTGCTAAATGGGGCAGTCAGCTCGGACTACCCTGCCGAATTCACCTATTGGTCAGATTCACGTGCATCCACTATTGATTTTGTATGGATATCTCCTGACCTTACCCCAAAAATATCCAGCTTTAAGGTGGCTACGAGATTGGAGAGTGATCACTTCCCTCTAGAAATTTTCTTGACTCTGGCTGGCGAACTTGATAGGCACTCCTTTGTGCACCTATCAAATGATCATCTGGAGATAAGACCTACAGCCCTCAAATGGACCTCCAACTCGGCCCAGCAGTTGAACGAACTTCTCTGGTCTGATCAGCTCCAAACAAAAAGGGCTTCCCTTATGCAGGCGGATGAGCCTCTACCAATATATGACGATTTAGTAGAACTTCTAAAACCAACACTAGCTCGGCCCCCCACAAAGCATGGTAAACAGTTTTTCCACAAAAAATGGTTCGATGAGGAATGCAAAAACTTCAAGAATCATCTGTATAATGAATGGTTGGCATACAGAGCATCAAATGACCCCATGCCAAATAACCACCTTATCACCCTCAGGAGAAGTTACAAAGCCCTACTAAAGGAAAAGAAGCTCGAGGCAGAAAGAAACAATTGGAACAACCTTTTGATAGCTGCAGAGAATAGAAATCCAGCCTCTTTTTGGCAGTTAGTTTCCAGATACCTGGGCAGACCGCTTGCAAAAATAGAACCCCACATCTCAGCGGACACTTGGGAAAGATACTTCGCCGATCTGTATGCAGCCCATGATGCCTGCGGAGATATGGTGGAGCCGGAAGCACTGCCCGATTGGGACCCAGTTACATGCCCTGAAGTTGAAATTCTCATAGATCGATTTAAAGCAGGCAAGGCCCCCGGTGATGACCTTATATCCATTGATGCCATCAAAGCAAATAAAGATTGGTGGATCCCACTTTTAGCAGCACTTTACACGCATATAAACAAAACAGCAAAATTTCCCTCAAGCTGGAGCTCTGCGTTGATTGTATTAATACATAAGAAAGGCCCACGTACAGAGCCGAGCAACTTTAGACCAATCAGCTTGCTAAATGTCATTGGGAAGATTTACTCGGGGTACCTGCTAAACAAACTATCGAAATGGATGGAGGACGACAACATCATTGCCGATGAACAGGCGGGTTTTCGCCCTGGAAGATCTACCACAGACCAAATATTAACCTTGAATCACCTGGCGGAAAAGTATGCCGGCAAAGCCCCAAAGGTTCTTCATGTGGCTTTTATTGACCTTAAGCAGGCATTTGATCGAATCTCTAGAAAGCAGCTATGGACAAAACTGGCTGCTACAAAGATCGATCGTCGTCTCCTTCATCTGATTATTAGCCTCCATACAAACACCTTTCTGAGAATCAGGCTAGACAATAAAGGCCTAGTCTCCAACCCTGTTACCACCACTAGAGGGGTAAGACAGGGTTGTCTATTGGCCCCAGCATTGTTTAGCTTTTACATTAACTCACTGGTGACTCACATGGCCAATGATGCTTTCCACCCCCCCAAATTAGCAGGCCGATCTCTGAATGTTCTTCTGTATGCGGATGACGCCGCACTTCTTGCCAGATCCCCTATTGGACTGAGGAGAATGTTGCAAGCTCTACATGAATACTGTGATCAGCATGAGCTCCAACCCAACTATGCTAAGACCAAGATCATGGTCTTCTCTGCCCGACCGAGACTCCATCGATGGTCGATGAACGGGATCCCCCTAGAGCAGGTTAACTGCTTTAAATATCTGGGACAAGTAATACGGTCAAATAGGACTTTTCTGGCCCATAGAGACTATATCACAACTAATGCATCTAAAGCAGCCATCCAGATTCGATCTCTATATGCTAAGAATCAGGCTCAATCAGTGAAGATAGCTTTGAGACTCTTTCAAATGAAAGTCCTCCCCCTTCTTTTGGTGGGCATCTCTTTAGGCTCCCATAGGGATTTTTTGAAACTGGATTCTATCCAAACGCAATTCCTTAGAGCCATCCTTAGGATTCCCCCCTCGGTAGCGGGTGCGGTTATGAGATTAGAGGTCGGCTGGCAAGCTCTACGGTATGTGGCCTTGAAGACGAAGCTCTGGCTATGGCTCAAGCTTTGTTTTAAACCAGTGGGCATTGCCCCCTTGATATTGAGGGACGATTTCCAATCATCGTGGGAAAGGGAGGTCATTAACGAGGTTCAATCCTGCGGATTGTCTCACCTTTACTTTGAGTCTATGACGTACAATCAAGCTAGAGCTGTGATCTCCCGGAGACTGAGTGACATTGCCAGACAAGAGGACATAGCCCAGGTAAAACCAGGGATGTTCCTAGGGGACCAGATTTATCGGACCATACCAGCCCCCTACCTTGCAGAAATCCACTATGTGGAATACCGCAGACTTCTTACAGCGGCTAGATTAAATGTCCTTGACTCGGCAATATTGTGGGGAAGGTACAGGGGAGTACCATACGCCCAGAGAACCTGTCATTGTGCCATGGGTGCGGTTGAGTCCACCGAACACATTCTCTTGGCTTGCCCTTCTTATGCAGAGCTTAGACAAAATTTTATAGACCCACTCCTATGTAAATTTAGCTTCCTATCCGGAGAAAACCAGGTTTTACACTTGCTGAATAACGTCACTAGAGCTATACCTTCCTTGGTGGCCAAATTTCTTTTTTTAGCTTTTAAGCGTCGCAAGACTATAATTGACTGTATTGATATGGGGCTATCTGTTTAGCCCTTTTTAGTGTTGGCTAAGTTCTAAAATCTTCTTGGATGTTTTAACTGTGTATTGACAAATGTACTTTTTTCTGACTGACGGTCGAATAAAAGGTTGATGATGATGATGAACCCTGGTCTCCCAGGTCCTAGTCTGACACGCTAAGCCAGTGTTTATCAGCCTTGGGTCCCCAGATGTTGTTGGACCACAACTCCCATCATCCATGACCGCTGGTCCTGCTAGCTATGGATGATGGGAGCTGTAGTCCAGTAACAGCTGGGGACCCAAGGTTGAGAAAAGCTGCTCTAACCACAACACAGCATTCGTATACTCTGTGTTGTATGTTAACCCCCTGTTTGTGTGCAAAAGCCAGTTAAACTGAGCGCATAACATGCGGTTTCTTGACTTAGGATAAAGCGAGCACACCAGTTCCACTTTCCCCAAGCTGGTGTCATCCAGATATTTTGGGCTGCAACTTCCGTTTGCCCCAGAAACTGTAAAGACCCCCACAGTATGTGGGGCACCACTCCTCAGAAGAGACCAAAAGTGCATACTGTATTTTTCGTTCTATAAGACGCACCAGACCACAAGACCCACCTAGTTTTTAGAGGAGGAAAAGAAGAAAAAAAATATTCTGAATCTCAGAAGCCAGAACAGCAAGAGGGATCGCTGCGCAGTGAAAGCAGCAATCCCTCTTGCTGTTCTGGCTTCTGGGATAGCCTGCATTCTCTCCATAAGACGCACACACATTTTCCCTTACTTTTTAGGAGGGAAAAAGTGAGTCTTATAGAGCAAAAAATACGGTAATTCGAGAACTCACCCCCGACTTTGCATCGTACAATGTGTGCGTGAGGATAATCTTGAAGACGGCATGGGATCGGCTGCTCTCTTCGTTCATGTTGGTGGCGGCGACCGTGCGAGATTTATTGCCTTCGGACATCAGAGACTCTATGTCCTAATGAAAAGACAGGATTGAAAAGCAAGCGCAGTGAGGAATTTTAGGAAGGCAGGTGCGGTGCGAACACATCAGGGAGAACTTCCTAAATTTTGGACGTGGCTTCACACTTCACACAGCGGTAGCTGCCCGATCTTCACTGCAAACCGGTGCTTGGGATCTCTCCATTAAACCACTGGGTTTCTGTGTGTGGGTCAGGACCAAGCGGGCAGTTTGTGGTCCAACTTAAAGAGGATGGCTGCACTGCTGGCACGACTGCCGTTTTCATTACAGAAATAAAAACCATTTAGATATATGTCCATTCCCATCCTAAAGGTTCATGGAAAGTTAGAAGATATCCTGAGGATCGTCTAAGCCAGGGGTCAGCAAACTTTTTCAGCAGGGGGATGGTCCACTTTCCCTCAGACCTTGTGGAGGGCCGGACTATATTTTGAAGGGGGAAAAGGAACGACTACCTATGCCCCACAAATAACCCAGAGGTGCATTTTAAATAAAAGGACACATTCTACTCATGTAAAAACATGCTGATTCCTGGACAGTCCACGGGACGGATTTAGAAGGCAATTAGTTTGCCTACCCATGGTCTAAGCCAATTCTCCTACAGTACAGTGGTACCTTGGTTCTCAAACGCCTTGGTACTCAAACAACTTGGAATCCAAACATTACAAACCCAGAAGTAAGAAACCCGTTTTGAGCATTACGCTGAGGTCTGTCTGTTTTTGCTATTTATTTTGTGTTTTTGTTTTGTTTTGTTTTTGCAACTGTGTGGAAGCCAGTTCAGCTACTGATTGATTGATTGTGCGACCGAAGTACACTGTTCACTGCTTTCATTTTAGGGCTCAATGGTCTCGTTAGATAGTGAAATTCATGTTAAATTGCTGTTTTAGGGGTTGTTTTTAAAAGTCTGGAATGGATTAATCCATTTTGCATTACTTTCTATGGGAAAGCGTGCCTTGGTTTTGGAACGGATTTCTGGAATGGATTAAATTTGAGAACCAGGGTACCACTGTATGCAGCCATCCCATAAGGAGATCGAACCTGCAACCTTAGCATCATCAGCAAAATGCTCTAACCTAGGCAACTAATTTCAGCATTCTTGATTCCATGCCCCTAAAGTGAATCACAGTGAAAATATATTGCACATATGTTTGGGGGGTGCGAGCAGAGGTGAACACACGCACCACCCCTGTATTTACTGAACTCAAATAGCACCCCCAACATACTCCTAGTACCACGGGTGGGGGGGGGCTTATTGACACAAACATTTGCTGATGAAGGCTTAGCCAAATTTGCATTTTCATCTCTCCACCCATTGTTCCTGGTGTTATACATCTTCAGACGTTGCAATCAGTGACTTGCGATGCGCATTTTTGCCAATTCTGCATTTTATGCACTGATTTTACTGCACACTGCTTAGATAGAGTCGCATGAAGCGGTACAGAAACAACGCCAAACTGCTAATTAATTAATTTATACGCCACTTAATGCCGAAATAGGCTTCTGAGCCGCTCACGAGCACAAGAGCCGGTTATCCAAGCGCGAAAATGTTGCGTAACGTTACAAAAATAAGCCTGAAAATAGAAGCAGAAGATGAGGCAGCTCTCAGCTGATCGTGGAGAGGGCTGCCCTCAGCTCCTCCCTTCCCTTGCGCTCACAGATACAGGCCTGTTCCCTTTTAAAATCCATTTATTTAACATTCATTTTAATTATTTATTCCCCACTTTAAAAAAAAATACGGAAGCATTCTTGAGGCAGCTTACACAGCACGCTGGCGCTTCGTGGAAAGAGCTCTTTCCTCAATACATGCAGGAAAAAGTGGGCTAGGTTTATCACAGAATCCTAGGATCGGAGAACTGGAAGGGACCCCAAGTTTCATCTAGTCCAGCCCCTGCAATGCCTGCATCCTGGGAGATGGCCTAGCGCAGAGGAGGCAAACAGAATGAGGCTCTGTTTGCGCCAGATATTCAAAGCACACAGCTTCCCCCAAAATTATCCTGGGAACTGTAGTTTGAGGGTGCTGGGAACTGTAGTGCTGTGAAGGGTAAGCGATGTGCGCAGCCTGGGGCTGAAAAGCCCCGGTTCAAAATCTGACTATGTTTAAAACAATTGTTAAGAAGCCGGAAACATTCCTTTTAGGAATTATAACAAATGACATCCCAAAAGAGAATCTTTTTATATGCAACAGCTGCCGCAAGGTTATTGATTGCAAAAAATTGGAAATCAGAAGAAGTGCCAACATTGAGAGATTGGCAAAATAATTTTTTTGGTATGATTGAATTAGCAAAAACGACAGCAACAATTAGAATGCAATCTAATCAAAATCTCAAACAGGAATGGAAAGGTGTAGAAGAATACATGGCCAAAAGATGCTCCGACAGGAATTTATTGATATGTATAGACTGAGTTCACAAAGTTAAGTTAAGCTAAACTAAGCTAAGCAGATATATAAGATTGAATGTTTAATTGTTAAGATACCAAATTACAATCTCAATAATAAAGTTACAAAATAATAACAAAGAAGTCACAGGGCAAGAAATAAGAAATGGATAAATGTTGGTACATAATGAAATGTGAAAATGTGAATTTGCGAATATGTATATGTATCAATACGTAAAGATTTCATAAATGTATTGCAACATTAATAATAAATAAATTAAGTGCAAAAAAATTAAAAAACCCAAAATCTGACTACGCCAGGCAGTCGTTCCTGAGCCTTCATGTTGCCCACCTGCCATATGGCGATAACATCAAAATATTCCCCTCTTTCAGGACTGCTGTAAGAATTAGCAAAACAATGTACATCTCGTGCTATCCATGGACTCTTGCGGAGAGATGCCGTTTCAAGGGAGCCCTACACAACTCATATTGCTCCAACTGCCCTTGACCATCACTGGGCACATTCCGTCCCTTATTTTGACAAGTCGGCTGGGTAACAAAACATTAATTCTGAGCAAAGGAAAACATTCTGGCCGCACAGAACAACCCGGCCTCGAAATTAAACAAGCTTCGAGCTCAGAAGATAAACCCCCAACTTAACCCGTCGCGAGAGTGCTGGGTTGATTCCGTTCTGAGGAACAGTTTCTATCCAAATGCGATTTTGATTTTAAACGCAGTGTAAGGTAGTTTCTATGGGAATATATTGTATTTAATTATGGGGTATCAGAGTTTTTAGGGGGTTAACCAGGCTGGGATAGCAGGCTTGTATTGTTTTTAACACTCGATTGGAAGCCGCCCAGAGTGGCTGGGGAAACTCGGCTAGATTGGCGAGGTATAAATAATAAATTATTATCATTATTATCATTATTAGGGTGGTGCTGTGGGTTAAACCACAGAGCCTAGGACTTGCCGATCAGCGGTTCAAATCCCCGTGACAGGGTGAGCTCCCGTTGCTCGGTCCCTGCTCCTGCCAACCTAGCAGTTCGAAAGCACGTCAAAGTGCAAGTAGATAAATAGGTACCACTCCGGCGTGCTGCTCTGGTTTGCCAGAAGCGGATTAGTCCTGCTGGCCACATGACCCGGAAGCTGCACGCCGGCTCCCTCGGCCAACAAAGCGACATGTGCGCCGCAACCCCAGAGTCCGTCACGACTGGACCTAATGGTCAGGGGTCCCTTTACCTTTTAAGGTAGTCTCTATGGGAGTATATTGTATTTAATTATGGGATATCAGAGTTTTTCCGGGGTTAACCAGGCTGGGATAGCTGGTTTGTTGGTTTTTCGAATGTCTGATGTAGATTTTTTCAATTTCGTTGTTCTGTATGGGACAATGACAATAAAGATTATCATATCGTTCTGCTCAGAGCTTCATTTCCAACTATGCAAGGCACACCCCTTTCCTCCAGAGTAAGCCTGGAGTCCTGGCTCTGCGATCTGGAAGTCCCCCACTTCTCAGTGGTGAAGGAAAGGCACTGTGCATCTGTCCAACGTAAGAACAGGAAAAGAGCGTGTTGGATCAGCCCAATGGCGTCTTGCTCTCACAGCAGTTGACTGGATGCAAGCAGGATATGAACTCAAGAGCCCTCTCCTACCTCTGGGGTTTCCAGAAACTGTTACATGGAAGCATTGTTGTCTCCAGCTGTGGAAGCAGAGCACAACGAATGTGGCCAGTAGCCATCCATAGCCCTTTCCTCCAAGCCTGATGAGGAACGGTCGAAGGAGCTGGGTATGTTCAGCCTGAGAAAGAGGAGACTGAGAGGAACTATGGTGTTCTATGATCTTCTTGCAGTCCATGGGACTCTCAAGAGTCTCCTCCAGCACCAGAATTCAAAAGCATCAATTCTTCGGCGATCAGCCTTCTTGATGGTCCAGCTCTCACTTCCATACATCATTACTGGGGAAACCATAGCTTTAACTATACGGACCTTTGTTGTCAAGGTGATGTCTCTGCTTTTTAAGATGCTGTCTAGGTTTGTCATTGCTTTTCTCCCAAGAAGCAGGCATCTTTTAATTTGGTGGCTGCTGTCACCATCTGCAGTGATCATGGAGCCAAAAAAAGTAAAACCTCTCACTGCCTCCATTTCTTCCCCTTCTATTTGCCAGGAGGTGAGGGGACCAGTGGCCATGATCTTCGTTTTTTGATGTTGAGCTTCAGACCATATTTTGCGCTCTCCTCTTTCACCCTCATTAAAAGGTTCTTTAATTCCTCCTCACTTTCTGCCATCTATGATAGCCATCTTCAAATATCTCAAGAGCTGTCACATAGAAGGTGGAGTAAGCTTTTTTTCTCCAGCTCTGGATGCTAGTACACAAACCAATGGATTCAAGTTACAAGTCCAAGTCTTACTCTCCAGAGCGATGAAAATAAGCTTGCTCCATCTTCCACGGGACAGCCCTTGAGATATTTGATGATGGCTCTCATCTCTCCTCTTTTCCAGGCTAAACATACTCAGCTCCTTCGACCGTTCCTCATCAGGCTTGGTTTTGAGACCCTTGGTCATCTTGGTTGCCCTCCTCTGCACAACTTCCAGCTTGTCAACACCCTTCTTAAATTGTGGCACCCAGAACTGGACGCGGCATTGCAGGTGGGTGAATATCGGCATCAGGAACAAGGAGGGAATTCAGTTTTACATCAGGAACAAGGGTGGGAGGAGAACGGCAGTGCCTATGAGACCCTAACGGGCCACCGTAGAGGCAACGTTTGGGGCGGGGGACAGATCCGGCCCCCAAAGAGATCGTCACAGCCATCGTTGCCACTGCAGAAGCAAGTAATGCAGTCCTTGGAGATTGGATCTGCTGCCCCTGTGTATCCTGCCGCCTGAGGCAGTCGCCTCATCTTGCCTCATGGGTGGGCCGGCACCAGGCAGGCGGATTCAACATAAGGCTGCTTACTGTCATAGAATCATAGAATAGAATCATAGAATCATAGAATCATAGAGTTGGAAGAGACCACAAGGGCCATCGAGTCCAACCCCCTGCCAAGCAGGAAACACCATCAGAGCACTCCTGACATATGGTTGTCAAGCCTCTGCTTAAAGACCTCCAAAGAAGGAGACTCCACCACACTCCTTGGCAGCAAATTCCACTGTCGAACAGCTCTTACTGTCAGGAAGTTCTTCCTAATGTTTAGGTGGAATCTTCTTTCTTGTAGTTTGGATCCATTGCTCCGTGTCCGCTTCTCTGGAGCAGCAGAAAACAGCCTTTCTCCCTCCTCTATGTGACATCCTTTTATATATTTGAACATGGCTATCATATCACCCCTTAACCTCCTCTTCTCCAGGCTAAACATGCCCGGCTGTGTTTGTGGCTTTGTCTCCTTTTCGTTCTCCACGTGCGGCTGCTGCAAACACAGCCAAGAGGCCCCAGCCACCTTCCTTGCATGCTAAACTTTCTATAAGTGCTTCAGGCTATCGCTAACATTTCTGCAAACAGTGTGCTCTCGCTCGTTAAACCGGTTTTACAAGATTTTTTTATTTACTTTTTTGAAGACTGGGGGAATGAAGGCGTTCAAGACCTCTGTGTACGCCTGTGAGAGCATATCATATCCTTAATCCTGGCAGGGCTTGTCTACCCAGAGGTGGGCGATACGGAACACCAACCTATGATTAAGTAATATACTTGGAAATATTTGAGTTTTCCTGAAGCGCAGCCAGGCTGGTGCTGAGGGGAGGCATCCCAATCACGCAGGCAGGATAGGTATTTAATTTGTTTTAATTTGTGGCTGATTCATTAAAACGAAAGAGAAAAAGAACTACCAGACTTTTAGAAGACATCTGCAGGCAGCCCTGTTTAGGGAAGCTTTTAATGTTTAATAGACTATTGTATTTTAATATTCTGTTGGAAGCTGCCCAGAGTGGCTGAGGAAACCCAGCCAGATTGGCGGGGTATAATAATATTATTAAGGGACGTGGGTGGCGCTGTGGGTAAAAGCCTCAGCGCCTAGGGCTTGCCGATCGAAAGGTTGGCGGTTCGAATCCCGCGGCGGGGTGCGCTCCCGTTGCTCGGTCCCAGCGCCTGCCAACCTAGCAGTTCGAAAGCACCCCCGGGTGCAAGTAGATAAATAGGGACCGCTTTCTAGCAGGAAGGTAAACGGCGTTTCCGTGTGTGCTGCGCTGGCTCGCCAGAGCAGCGATGTCACGCTGGCCACGTGACCCGGAAGTGTCTCCGGACAGCACTGGCCCCCGGCCTCTTGAGTGAGATGGGCGCACAACCCCAGAGTCTGGCAAGACTGGCCCGTACGGGCAGGGGTACCTTTACCTTTAATATTATTATTATTATTACTTGGAAAATCGGTGGAAATGATTCTGCAAAAAAACCAAAGCACCGTCAAAGTCCAGCACCTTGTTTTCACAGCTGTAAACCATGGTTTATTGGACTGGGACCGTTACATCTGAACTGCGCCATTTTCCTTTTCTTATGTACAGTGAGCAGCTTTGGCTGTTATTGCCACCAAACAATTAGATTTCTTTACCTTGTAACAGGCAACAGCCAGTTTAGAAAGTCCATCCACGTATGGTCCGTAAACGCTGTGCTCTCTGACTTTCAACGACTGTCGACTCCTGTTTCCAAAGCAAGCACAGAGAATAAGGCGTTACTCTCCTCGCAAATGTAGGGCCCACGACCCAGGCAGCCGAAGCTAAGTGCTACCGATTTCCAGCGGGAGAGTTGAGTCATGTGCTTAAACCCTTCCTCCTGAAACCAAAGGATGCTCAGCTTAGATCAGGCCCAGTGTGCTCCAAGTCACGGCACATTTTGCCAACCAATTCCCGCAACTGGTGGAGGGTAGGAATGCAACCACACAACTTTTTTAACAAAAAAGATAGAAGAGATAAGAGCTGCGCATTCCTTTCCACGCTAACAGGGAAGTACAGACAAATAACTGTTAACACTTCTTTAGGCTTGAAAGGCATTCGAGTTAACGCAAGGCGACAATTATCTTGGGAGGGCTGGGAAGAGGGAAGGTTAGGAGATATTTGCCAAGGACATACGTCTGGGGCTATTTAGACTTCCCTCTCCTTTCATGACTTAGCCTTGACCCTCCAAAGATGAAGTTCTCTGATGCAGAAAGACTGGAACTCCGAATATAAGCAATTGCACGAGCTTTTATTACAGTGTGTTGTTGTTGTTGTTAGACGTGACTGCATTGTTTTCGTAATTCTAAATTATTCAAAACTGTTCTTAAGGCTGTGTTTTAAATCAGTGTTTCCCAACCTTTTTTGGGCAAAGGCACACTTGTTTCATGAAAAAAATCTCGAGGCACACCACCATGCCAGATGGGGAAAGGTCACTTTTTACTTATGTAAAAAAAAATAAAAAATAGTAACAGCATAGAAGGTAATGGTTAGGCTAGCATCCCTCTTCCAAATATGCTAGGTTTTTATTTGCAGGGACTGTTCTACATGGGAAAGCATTCAGCACTGTCATTCTCCCATCTGCCATCTGAATTGGTACTATTCTGGGTCAACTTACTCTGCTGCATGTGTAGATGAAAATGGCACCAAGTGTGGGGGAGGGGGCAGAACAGGTTTCAGATACAGGATATTAAGCATACACGTACTTCAGATTGAACTGGTTGCTTGCTTTGCAAGTTTTCATTTCCCAAATGACTGCCTTGGCAAGCGCAATACCTACCAGGCTTAACGCCGGTGTCGCGCTGCCGCTTCCCGCGCTCTCAAGGACCCGGGAGGAGGAAGGCGTGAAGGGAATCCCGAAGGCGCGAAAACCTCGCGCATGCGCAGGCCTTCCGCCTGCGACAGCCCAGTAGGCCGGCCGAAGCGAGCGGCGATGGGATGTGGGAAGGAGCTCGCTCGCCGCCCCGCGTGTGCCTATGTGGGGCACGTTACAGCCCCGTGACGTCAGCGCCACGCAGGCAGCCAGGCAGGCAGACGGCGAGAGCCCCGCGCTGGGCGGCCTCTCCTCGCCGCCGCTGCCCCGCCTCTCGCCGCCCGACTCGCCCGCCTCCCTCCAGGCAACATCTCGCGGCACACCAGGCAACGTCTCGCGGCACACTAGTGTGCCGCGGAACACCGGTTGGGAAACACTGTTTTAAATTGCTGTAACCCGCCCCGGGACCTTAGGGTGAAGGGCAGGTAATATATTTAAATAATTATAATAGTAATAATAATAATAATAATAATAATAATAATAATAATAATAATGATGTAAATAAATAAGTCCGTTCGACTTCCAAAATGTTCGGAAACCAAGGTGCGGCTTCCTGCAGCCAATAGGAAGCTGCGGAACCTGCGTCGGACGTTCGGGTTCCAAAGAACATTCACAAACTAGAATGCTCACTTCCGGGTTTGCAGCGTCCGGGAGCCAAAACATTCGAGTCGCAATGCGAAGTTCGACTTCCCAGGTACGGCTGTATAAGTATATTGCGATGTTTGGCTGATGATATATCACAATGTCAAAAACCCAATCCATTGATACCTCTGGTTGCGAACGGGATCCGTTCCAGAGCCCTGTTCGCTACCTGAGCAGAATGCAACCCACGTCTGTGGGTCACGATTTGCCACTTCTGCGCATGACATCATTTTGAGCGTCTGCGCATGCACGAGCGGCGAAACCCAGAAGTAACCCATTCTGTTTTTTAACCTGAGGTATGACTGGATTGGGGACGCAGGTGGCGCTGTGGGTTAAACCACAGAGCCTAGGACTTGCCGATCAGAAGGTTGGCGGTTCGAATCCCCGCGATGGGGTGAGCTCCCATTGCTCGGTCCCTGCTCCTGCCAACCTAGCAGTTCGAAAGCACGTCAAAGTGCAAGTAGATAAATAGGTACCGCTCCGGCGGGAAGGTACACGGCGTTTCTGTGCACTGCTCTGGTTCGCCAGAAGCAGCTTAGTCATGCTGGCCACATGACCCGGAAGCTGTCTGCAGACAAACGCTGGCTCCCTTGGCCAATAAAGCGAGATGAGCGCCGCAACCCCAGAGTCGGTCACCTAATGGTCAGGAGTCCCTTTACCTTTACCTATGACTGTATTGCTTAGCCCTACTTTGCAGGAGTCCTGCGATGGCTCTGCAGCCCTACCCAAAAACGCTGAGGATATTTCTCAAGCAAAGCACACACCCTCTGCTACGGAGGGCTGGCCCTCCTGGCTAAGCGAAAACTGTCCATTTTGTTCAGAGAAATACATGTTCGTTCAGCTGGCCCCTCCGAAGGCATGCCTTGAGAGAAGGCAGGCTTTCACCGCCTGGCTCAATGGGTTGCTGGCCACCTCGATCCCTGCCGCGTTCCCCCTTACCCCTTTGGGTCCAGCAGGTCCCGGACTTTCTCGTTGTAAATCTCCATGTAAGAAACCTCCACTTTGAAGCTCTGCTCTTCGCTCTCCTCTTTCTGGGCCCTTTCGAAGAGGGTGCTGCACAGGCGAGGGATTAGTCCAGGCTGGTCAGCTGTGCCCATCATGGTATAAGACTTTCCGGACCCTGCGGAAAAAGGGGAGGAAGAGGCGCTTTAGGAGGAAGGGAGGAAAAGGGCGGCGGATAGGAAGAAAGGGAGAATTTCAGGGTGCCTTCGCAAATGAGCTACCAAGGAGACCGGCAAAAAAAAAAGGGGGGGAGTTCTAGATTTGTAGGTGGGAAGGTGAAACAAAACTACAGTCATACCTCATGTTACATCTGCTTCATGTTACGTTCTTTCAGGTCACGTCCTGCGTTGACCCGGAAGTACCGGAAAGGGTTACTTCCGGGTTTCGCCGCTCGCGCATGCGCGGAAGCGCAAAATGACATCACACGCATGCGCGGAAGTGGCGAATCGCAAATTCCACAGGAAAGCATAGCCTTCCACAAACGTCAATGTACAGTTGTACGTCTGCTTATGTATCCCTCTGGATATGTAAACTTCGGGATGCAAACATGGCAAACCTGGAAGTATTTTTCCAGGTTTCGCCACACGCGCATGCGCAGAAGCGCTCTACACGTCACGCGCATGTGCAGAGGTGCTAAACCACACCACGTGCATGTGCAGAAGTGCTCCTCCGGTTGCAAATTCCTTGGAATGCGTCCAGATCTCCGGAACGGATCCCGTTCGCAACTGGAGGTACCACTGTACTGATCTCTGGCCTTTCCTGCTGTAGTCGCAGCTAGACTGGTGACTGGGAGCGACCACTGGGACCACATAACACCTGTCCTGAATGACTTACATTGGCTCCCAGTACATTTCTGAGCACAAGTCAAAGAGGTGGTGCTGAACTTTAAAGCCCTAAACGGCCTCGGCCCAGTATACCTGACGGAGCGTCTCCACCCCCATCGTTCTGCCTGGACGCTGAGGTCCAGCGCCGAGGGCCTTCTGGCGGTTCCCTCATTGCGAGAAGTGAGGTTACAGGGAACCAGGCAGAGGGCCTTCTTGGTGGTGGCGCCCGCCCTGTGGAATGCCCTCCCACCAGATGTCAAGGAAATAAACAACTGAAGGCAGACATCTGAAGGCAGCCCTGTTTAGGGAAGTTTTTAATGTTTGATGTTTTAGAGTTTTTAATGTTTTAAAGTTTTTAAAGTTTTTAATGTTTGACCTCAAAGAGCAGGTCAGGGAGCAGCCTTCCCACTGCTCCGCGAGCTTGTGGGGCTGGCGTGGGGGGAAGCACTGCTTTCCCCCACCGCCAGCCTCAAAGAGCAGGTTGGGGCTGGCGGGGGAAGCCCGGGTCCCCCCCCCCAGCCCCATGAACCACACATTTGCTCCATAAGAAATTTCCCCTTAGATTTTAAGAGGGGGGAAATTGTGTCTTATGGAGCGAAAAATACGGTATATTATACTTGCAGAAACAAAGTAATCGATAGACTTGATGGCAGGATTTAAATAAACATTCACACTGTTAGTATTAGAAAATGTTTAGAAGATAGAGAAATATTTTGGTGTATTTACTTTTATGTTTTTAGGTTTGATGTTATGTTATTAATAACTTTTTCTGTTAGAAGGTAACAAAGTGGATGAAAAGAGAACCTGTAGCGGAAGTTGGGGGAAGCCTAGAAGCGGAGGAAGGAATATATAGTAAATGTTAAGACTTTCAGATGTATGTAATGAAAGAAAAAGAAAAATGAATAAATGGGAATCAATGGCCAACTGCTCAGCAAAGGAGGATCTGCCTGTCTCTCTCTAGCCCTATCCTGGCTTCTGTCCCTTGCGGCTGCGCTAAATCAGCCTTTCTCAATCTTGGGTTCCTAGATGTTGTGGGACTACAACTCCCATCATCCATAGTCACCAGGGGCAGCAGTCAGGGATGATGGGAGTCGTAGTCCGGCAACTGGGGTGGTGGTGGTGGTGGTGGTAGGGTTTAACCAAACTGCCAAAGCATAATCTTATATAATCAGAAACTTTATTATTTTATTTTATTTTTCCATCCTCCCAAGGGGCAAGCGCTTACCGGTCTGTCCATAGGCGAAGATGCACGCGTTGTAGCCTTCAAAAGCGTTCTGGAGAATGTTCTCCCCAAGGCACTTGAAAACAACGTCTTGGCCTAAAATTAGAACAAAAAGATTCAAACGGCTCAGTCAGAAGAGGAAGAAGTCGTAAACCTCCTTTGATAAGACCCTCCAGGACTTCAAAACACGCTGCAAGGCGCATCATATGAGAACTGTTAACGTCTTTCATGTGTGTCCAAAGCAAATGAAGTCTTTAAGGACGGAAGCTGCAGGGCAGATCTTTATTCTGATCGCACTGAAGTCTCCCGTAAGTCCCTTTTGTGATATTCTGCGTTTACACCAACGTGGTATGGATCGCGATAAGGCAGCGTACGGACTGTGGGCCCTCCCTCTTGCGATTTAGTACACCTTTCCTGCAAGGAAGTCTCGCAGGGAGGGGAAGGGCTACTTGGTTTTGCCCTCACCCACTACCCAGCTAGGCAGTCCAGACCGAGAGATAGCTGCTGGCCAAAGGTCTTCCAAGGAGCTTGGCAAACGAGCAGGGAATTCGAACCCGGGTCTCCCAGGTTCAGCTCCACCCTTTAGGCAACACTGTTTCTCTGTGTCTGGATCCAGCCTTGAGCTACAGATAAGCTCATCTTTCACAGCCTGACTGTAAAAGGACCAAGGCTGAGGAGATGTAAGGAGGATGTGTAAGTATTATTATTACAGTGGTACCTCAGGTTAAGTACTTAATTCGTTCCAGAGGTCTGTTCTTAACCTGAAACTGTTCTTAACCTGAAGACCACTTTAGCTAACGGGGCCTCCTGCTGCTGCCACGCTGCCGGAGCACGATTTCTGTTCTCATCCTGAAGCAAAGTTCTTAACCTGAAGCACTATTTCTGGGTTAGCGGAGTCTGCAACCTGAAGCGTATGTAACCTGAAGCGTATGTAACCTGGGGTAACACTGTAGTATTATTATGTCATTATTAATAATAATAATAATAATAATAATAATAAATAATTATTATTATTATATACTTTATAATATAATAATAAGACTACTTCCTCATGCTCAGTGGAAGTGCATGCTTTTTTCCTAAGAAAATAAAAATGGTTTGTCCATCGCCCTGCAGGCTTTTAAGCAAATCCTTGTGATCATACAGAGCCTATATAAAAACAGGGGGTGTGGAAAAACTAGAGTTTAAGAAAACATGGCGTGGGCAGCCAAGGTAAGCGACCATGTTTTCTTAAACTCTAGTTTTTCCACACCCCCTGTTTTTATATAAGCTCTGTATGATCACAAGGATTTGCTTAAAAGCCTGCAGGGCGATGGACAAACCATTTTTATTTTCTTAGGAAAAAAGCATGCACTTCCACTGAGCAAGAGGAAGTGGTCTTATTATTATATTATAAAGTATATAATAATTATAAAGTATATAATAATAATAATTATATATTAATTGGGGCATGGGTAGGCAAACTAAGGTCCGTGGGCCGGATCCGGCCCAATCGCCTTCTCAATCCGGCCCGCGGACAGTCCGGGAATCAGCGTGTTTTTACATGAGTAGAATGCGTCCTTTTATTTAAAATGCACCTCTGGGTTATTTGTGGGGCCTGCCTGGTGTTTTTACATGAGTAGAATGTGTGCTTTTATTTAAAATGCGTCTCTGCGTTATTTGTGGGGCATAGGAATTCATTCATATCCCCCCCAAAAAAATATAGTCCGGCCCCCACAAGGTCTGAGGGACAGTGGACTGGCCCCCTGCTGAAAAAGTTTGCTGACCCCTGCTCTGGGGCCTTGAATGAACCGTTTCCTAGTCATAAATTTCAGCCTTTGTCGCTTGAAATATTGCCTCTGGGGGAGTCTGCCTCAGTTTGGCACAGTGGTTTTCAACCCGCGTGCCGTGGCACCCTGGGGTGCCCTGAATGATGCTCAGTGGTGCTGCGGACAACACTGGCCTCTGTCCCTCTTTCCTTCCCTCCCTCCTCTGATGAACCTCTCGCACCTCTGCCTCCCAAAGGGTTGTGTGGCTGTTTGTTGCAGCAGCCCTGGCCACAAGCTCCGCAGGAGAGTGGTCCCTCTGGGGCTGGCCAGGGAGCAGGCACTTCTCTTTGGGGTGGGGTGGGCAGATTAGAGACTGGGGCAGTGGCTGCAGCTGCCTGGAGGACTCCCAAGGAGAGGAGAGAGGAGAGGAGGCTGAGGGAACACCCCACAAGGAAAGGTGCTTGAATAGGGGTGAGGGGCTGCTGGCTCTGTAGGCAAGGGGTGACTTAACGGGGCTTCTGAGGCTCGGCTCACATTTCCCCACAAGGTAAAGGTAAAGGGACCCCTGACCATTAGGTCCAGTCATGGCCAATTCTGGGGTTGTGGCACTCATCTCGCTTTATTGGCCGAGGGAGCCGGCGTACAGCTTCCGGGTCATGTGTCCAGCATGACTGAGCCACCTTTGGCAAACCAGAGCAGCACACGGAAACACGGTTTACCTTCCCACTGGATCAGTACCTATTTATCTACTTGCACTTTGTGCTTCCGAACTGCTAGGTTGGCAAGTGGTTCATAAAGGTAAAGGTAAAGGGACCCCTGACCATTAGGTCCAGTCTTGACTGACTCTGGGGTTGCGGCGCTCATCTCACTTTATTAGCCGAGGGAGCCGGAGTACAGCTTCCAGGTCATGTGGCCAGCATGACTAAGCCGCTTCTGGCGAACCAGAGCAGTGCACAGAAACACTGTTTACCTTCCCGCCGGAGTGGTACTTATTGATCTACTTGCACTTTGACGTGTTTTCGAACTGCTAGCTTGGCAGGAGCAGGGACCGAGCAACGGGAGCTCACCCCGTCGCAGGGATTCGAACCGCTGACCTTCTGATCGGCAAGTCCTAGGCTCTGTGGTTTAACCCACAGCGCCACCCATGTCCCTTCCCCACAAGGGAGCAACAGAAAGAATGGACAGTGGTATCTTGGTTCTCAAACGCCTTGGTACTCAAACAACTTGGAACCCAAACACTACAAACCCAGAAGGAAGTGTTCTGGTTTGCAAACTTTTTCCGGAAGCCGAACATGCTCCGTTTTGAGTCTTATGCTTCCGATTTGAGTGCCACAATTCCGTTTTGAGTGCCACAGTTCTGTTTTGAGCGTTACGCTGAGGTCTGTCTGGTTTTGCTATTTATTTTGTGTTTTTGTGGCTCTTTTTGTTTTGTTTTTGTGGCTGTGTGGAACCCAGTTCAGCTACTGATTGATTGATTGTGCGACCGTAGTACAGTCATACCTCATGTTACGTTTGCTTCATGATATGTTTTCTCAGGTTGCGTCCTGCGGCGACCTGGAAGTACCGGAAAGGGTTACTTCCGAGTTTCGCTGCTCGCGCATGCACAGAAACACTAAATCGTGCTTCGCGCATGCACACAGGCACCAAATTGCACCACGCACCTGCACAGATATGGCGCTTCAGGTTGCAGGCTTTTCATGTTGCGAACGGGCCTCCGGAACGGATCTTGTTCGCAACCAGAAGGTACCACTGTACATTGTTTACTGCTTTCATTTTATGGCTCAATGGTCTCGTTAGATAGTAAAATTCAAGTTAAATTCCTGTTTTAGGGGTTGTTTTTAAAAGTCTGGAATGGATTAATCCAATCCATTACTTTCTATGGGAAAGCGCGCCTTGGTTTTGGAACGGACTTCCAGAACTGATTAAGTTTGAGAACCAAGGTACCACTGTAGTTGGTCAAGGGAGCCATGGACTCAAAAAGGTTGAAAACCTCTGGCCTAGCAGACTGACTTTCTGAAACTGACTTTTAAACTAAGCCTACCCCTCAGACAAATATTCTGCTCCAAGTCCAGGCAAAGCGGGGAGAAAACCCCAGATAGTTTAGATAATAATGAGCTAGATGGACGAATAGCCTGACTTGGTATAACGCAGGTTCTTCTGTTCCTTGCTAGATCAGTACTAGGTCTGTATCTCAGCCCTGAAATACTACCTGCATATTTCTCCTTGATGGCTTCGTCCATAGACCAGAAGCAGTGATCGTAGGCAAACACCTGCGGAGAGACAAACCAGAGACATCTTATGAAAGTCTTACTTTTACAAGGTGAACAATCCAACCAGCTTAACAGGCCATACGGAAAACAGACATCCAGCTTTCAATATGCGGTTGTCCAACGATAACTTTAGGATGTGTATGGTCCCTGCTCAGTAACTAAACTTCAAAAGGGGCCGTGCATTTCGAATTAACCGAAGCAGCGCTCTTCTATCACAGAGTTTCCCAAACTTGGGTCTCCAGCTGTTTTTTCAGACTACAGTTCCCATCATCCCTGCCCACTGGTCCTGCTAGCTAGAGATGATATGATGATGATGATGATGATGATGATGATGATAATAATAATAATTATAATAATTATAATAAATTTTATTTATACCCCGCCCTCCCCAGCCAAGACCGGGCTCAGGGCGGCTAACACCCGATATAAAAACAAATTGATTGAAATGCAATCTAAAAACAAGATTAAAATACAACATTAAAACATTAAAATACAGCCTCATTTCAATGGAAACTCAAATAAAAATTTTTTTTAGGGATGAAAACGTCAAGTCTTCACCAAGGCTAACTTTCCAGACTGGTCCTACATGGGCCAGAAAAAAGCCAGGGAAGTCCCCAAATGGGAGTTCCATCACAGGAGAAGAAAGGAAAAAAGAAGAGGGGGAGGGAATCAAATTGGCTCCAAGCCAAAGGCCAGGCGGAACAACTCTGTCTTACAGAGCCCTGCGGAAAGAAATCAGATCCCGCAGGGCCCTGATCTCATGAGACAGAGCGTTCCACCAGGCCGGAGCCAGTGTTGAAAAGGCCCTGGCCCTGGTTGAGGCTAATCTGACTTCCTTAGGGCCCGGGACCTCTAGGGTATTGCTATTTATGGACCTTAAGGTCCTCCGTGGGGCATACCGGGAGAGGCGGTCCTGTAGGTACGAGGGTCCTAGGCCGTGAAGGGCTTTAAAGGTCAAAACCAGCACCTTAAACCTGATCCTGTACTCCACCGGGAGCCAGTGCTGATGGGAGTTGTAGTCCAATAGCAACTGGAGACACAAGTTTGGCAAACGCTGTTTGATCAGATGCTGTTGGGACTCCCAACTCCCATCATCCACAGCCAGCTTAGTCACTGGCCGGGGAAGATGGAAGTTGTAGTCTGGAAACATCTGGGTTGGTCGGCTTAAATGCTGCCAACATTCCATGTAGTTCACTGGCAGCTAACCTGTGGTCTTCCAGATGTTGCAACGTTACAACTCCCATCAGTCTGGCATTGACCAATGCTCTCGGCCCAGTATCCCTGAAGGAGCGTCTCCACCCCCATCATTCTGCCCGGACACTGAGGTCCAGCGCTGAGGGCCTTCTGGCGGTTCCCTCACTGTGAGAAGCCAAGTTGCAGGGAACCAGGCAGAGGGCCTTCTCGGTAGTGGCACCCACCCTGTGGAATGCCCTCCCACCAGATGGCAAAGAAATAAACAACAATTTTAGAAGACATCTGAAGGCAGCCCTGTTTAGGGAAGTGTTTGATGTTTTATCGTGTTTTTAATATTCTGTTGGGAGCCGCCCAGAGTGGCTGGGGAAATCCAGCCAGATGGGCGGGGTAAAAATAATAAATTGTTGTTGTTGTTGTTGAGTTGGAGTCCAAAAACTGGGAACTCAGACTTGGAAGAATGCTAACCTAGAGGTTGATGGACTTGCAATGTCAATTCTTGGGGCAATTCCTCCCCGTGTCTATTTTACGGCAAGATTTTAGTGGCTCCCTGCTACCCAGGTGCAATCTGGCAGGGACCAGTGTTGACTGCAACAACCCGCATGCCTGGAATCTGCAATCATGCACTTCTGCAGCCTTTCAGAAATGCACTGAGAAAGCGAGTGAGAATGTGAGGAGAATAATAATAATAATAATAATAATAATAATTTATTATTTATACCCCGCCCATCTTGCTGGGTTTCCCCAGCCACTCTAGGCGACTTCCAACAAAATATTAAAATATAATAGTCCGTCAAACTTTAAAAGCTTCCCTAAAGAGGGCTGCCTTCAGGTGTCTTCTAAAAGTCTTGTAGTTGTTCTTCTCTTTGACATCTGGTGGGAAGGCGTTCCACAGGGCGGGTGCCACCACTGAGAAGGCCCTCTGCCTTAGAGAACAACTGAGGTGTGTGCTCACCACACAACTCCACCCTGATAACAAAAAATCATTGACCAAAGCTTCCATGAGGATACGTTCCCACATACTCTAAGCACCCACTCGTTTCCCTAGGCATAGAATTGCAGAGTTGGAAGGGACCCCCAGGGTCATCCAGTCCAACCCCGTGCAACGCAGCCATTCAAGGCCGTTTTGCCTCCCCACTTTGGGCCTGCAACTTCTTTAAAACACTGCAAAGGAAACTGTCCGAAAATAAAACCTTTGGAGAAGAAGAGAGAGAGAATACTGACAGGCAGCAACTGCAACTTTCCAACGCTGTGCAAATGGGAGGAAATGATTTGTGTGGTTTAATAAGAAGACGAAAAAAACCCCACACAACACAATCTTTCATCCACAACCCCCAGCGTTCAGTGTGTGACCATGCTGTCATTTGTTCCTGTGACTCATATCTTGGCTGCCAATGGTGCTTCTGGAGCGAAGAGCTTTTAATGTTTTGTTTCCCCTTCCTTGCACAGTAGCAGAAAGCACATTTAGAAAGAAAGTGGTAAATATTTTTCTGCACAGAATCCGAAGGCAAATAAATATCAGGATTCCCACACACCCCAACACACACACACGCCAGGCTCCAAAGTGCAATCGGAAAAGACTTACCTTGGGTTGGCTCCTACAGTTCAGGAACAGGAACATCGCGGGACATGCAAGGAAAAAGCGGGAGGGAGAGAAGGAAGGGAGAGAAGTAAAATAACAGGTTAACACCTTGCTCTCTCTGTTGCAAAAGAAATCACAAGTTTAAAAATGCATAAGACAACAGTTCTGGTCACTGACGCAGATATAAATCTTCAAAAGTATTCGCTTTAATATCACTTTCAATAATCAGTTTTATTTCTGCAAATACGCCGGCTTGTCAGAAGAAAGGCATTTCCGCACACAGGACAGAGTTCCAGAAGAGACGAGTAAAAGACTTATGGTGCGTTACACCCAAATAAATAGATACAGTGGTACCTCGGGTTAAGTACTTAATTCGTTCCGGAGGTCCATTCTTAAGCCGAAACCGTTCTTAACCTGAGGCACGCTTTCACTAATGGTGCCTCCTGCTGCCGCCGGAGCACGACTTCCGCTCGCATCCCGGGGCAAAGTTCGCAATCGGGAGCATCTACTTTCGGGTTAGCGGAGCTCGTAACACAAAGCGTTCGCAAGGAGGACGGTACATAACACGAGGTTCCACTGTATAGGATCACAGATTCGACAGAGTCAAGATCCCACAGATTTTGCAGAAAGCCAAATCCTGAAATTCGGACTGGGCGATATCTGGTTTCCAACATCGCAATACATCACCAGCTAAACAGAGCGATGTACAGTGGTACCTCGGGTTAAGAACTTAATTCGTTCCAGAGGTCCATTCTTAACCTGAAACTCTTCTTAACCTGAAGCACCACTTTAGCTAATGGGGCCTCCTGCAACTGTCGTGCGCCACAGCGCAATTTCTGTTCTCATCCTGAAGCAAAGTTCTTAACCCGAGGTACTATTTCTGGGTTAGCGGAGTCTCTGTAACCTGAAGCATCTGTAACCCGAGGTACCACTGTACCAATATATCACGATGTCTGAAATAAGGATGGAGCTATGCAGAGGCACTGGCTGGCTTCAAGGTTTCCCCACATTGTGATTTTTGCATAACACAAACACACACATATCATGATTCACAATATATTGCTAGGTCAAGAATGATAAACCAGTATCATGGCTATGGATAGTGTTGGTTTTGACCTTTAAAGCCATAAACGGCCTCGGCCCAGTATTCCTGAAGGAGCGTCTCCACCCCCATCGTTCTGCCCGGACGCTGAGGTCCAGCTCCGAGGGCCTTCTGGTGGTTCCCTCACTGCAAGAAGCCAAGTTACAGGGAACCAGGCAGAGGGCCTTCTCGGTGGTGGCACCCGCCCTGTGGAACACCCTCCCGCCAGATGTCAAAGAGAAAAACAACTACCTGACATTTAGAAGACATCTGAAGGCAGCCCTGTTCAGGGAAGTTTTTAATGTGTGACATTTTAATGTATTTTTAATCTTTGTTGGAAGCTGCCCAGAGTGGCTGGGGAAACCCAGCCAGATGGGCAGGGTACAAATAATAAATTATTATTATTATGGACTTCAAAACGGTTTTGGGCGGCATATCGATATATCACCCAGCCCTGTTTGCAAGAAGATTACTCTGGTTTTTGTGTGTGTTGTTGCCTCCCAATTTATTATATTTTTACCCTGCTTTTCAGGGAAAGCACTGACCTCTCCCCAGGTAAGCAGTTTGCGGAAATCCAAATGCCATTCCCAATGTGAGATAACCACGATGAGACTGCAGGGTGGTTGGAGGGAAGAGGAACCAGCAATATTAGCGGCAAAACACCCCAGCATCTTCCCCCATCGGGTGTAAGGAGACTGACCCTGACATTTCCCAGCCGCCTCTGGGCAGCAGGAATGGGTGGTGGAGGAAGGGAAAGCGAGACAAGAGAGAGTCGCAGGAATAAAACATGAATTGCAGATCTTCTCTCGCTGGCCGCTTGTGCTTAGAAGGCGAGGCGGCGTTCAGCTCTGGAGGTATCTGTTTCGCTTGGACTGTCTCCTGGCATAATGATCTGACCTTGACCGCTGCTGCTCTGCTCTTACCTTGCATCCGATTAAGAGTCAAGAGGCACACAGAGAAAAACACCGTAATAATAATAATAATAATAATAATAATAATAATTTTTTTTATTTATACCCCGCCCTCCCCAGCCAAGGCCGGGCTCAGAGCGGCTTACAAGCAATAATAAAAACAAGAAGAATGATTACAACTTAAAAACAAAAATAAAATACAACATTAAAATAATGGAACATTAAAATATTAAAATGTAGCCTCATTGCAGGAGGAGAAGGAAAAGAAAAAAGAAAGAGAGGGAGGGAGGGAATCAAATTGGCTCCAAGCCAAAGGCCAGGTGGAACAACTCTGTCTTACAGGCCCTGCGGAAAGAAATCAGATCCTGCAGGGCCCTGGTCTCATGAGGCAGAGCGTTCCACCAGGCCGGGGCCAGTGTTGAAAAGGCCCTGGCTCTGGTTGAAGCCAATCTAACTTCCTTAGGGCCTGGGACCTCTAGGGTGTTACTATTTATGGACCTTGAGGCTCTCCGTGGGGCATACCGGGAGAGGCGGTCCCGTAGGTACGAGGGTCCTAGGCCGTGAAGGGCTTTAAAGGTCAAAACCAGCACCTTGAACCTGACCCTGTACTCCACCGGGAGCCAGTGCAGCTTGAAAAGCACTGGGTGAATATGCTCCCATGGCAAAGACCCCGTGAGGAGCCTCGCTGCAGCATTCTGTACCTGCTGGAGTTTCTGGGACAGCTTCAAGGGCAGCCCCGTGTAGAGCGAATTACAGTAGTCAAGCCTGGAGATGACCGTCGCATGGATCACTGTGGCCAGGTCGGGGCAGGAAAGGTAAGGGACCAACTGCTTGATGTGGCGAAGGTGGAAAAATGTCGTAATAGCAGCATTGGTAAGGCGCAGCGCTAGGAACGTCGCAAAGATGGAGCAAACTTCGTGCCTCCAAGAAAAGTGGAAGACTGGGGGCTTTTGCTTAACTGCAGTTTGTTGTGCGGTCTGTTACAACAAAAATGTGGTTCGCGCTAACGATGGCTAATTTCAAAGAAGCCGGCATCAAACAGCGGTTTCTGAAGATGGCTTTTATATACGTATTTCTCTATCGGCAGGGAGAGGATTATAACACCAATGTTAAGGGGCAAAAACCATCATGCTGGTAAATAGCGTAAAAGGAACTGTAGAATGTACATTCCCAAGGGAAGAGCAAAATGCATCACAAATCTGCAGATCTTAATACATCGACACAGCAGATTTACCCCTCGGGAAAGACGAGGCGAAAAGATGAGTTTTAAGCAGGCCTTTTGAAATTAACTGTGGTTAGCCTTAACAGCAATTCTGGGTTCGAAAGGCACAGTAAACCGTGGTTAGCTAAAAGCAGAAGTGGAAGCTGCTGAATTTCTCCTCTCAGTTGTGTGGGACAAGGAGACGTGAAAGGCCAAGAAGGACCCGCTGTGGCTCATGCATGCCACACTAAACCATGGTTTATCCTTACGCGCAAGCACGGCTCATGTGACCGAAGCAGGAAGTGCGACGAGATCTGCACAATTCACAGCAGCCCATTTGAAATTTGCCTTTCAACGCAGCTGTCCAGCCGAGCAACCTCTAGCGGAGAAGGCTTTTCGCCCCCCCTCCCCCCAAATTGCGAGACAGGATTATGTTATTATATGTCACTTAAAACGTTTAGGTCTTTATTGTGCCCGTATTATTTGGCGTTTGGGATTAAAAGCAGCAATAAGAACATAATCCCTGTGGCCCTTCCCTGCATATGGAGGTTTCAAAAAGAGGATTACGCTGTGTAAAACAAGCAGCTCAATATAGGCCAAAAGGCCGCTTTCAAATAAGCATTGTGTTCTTTCCACAAAGATGCACACACAGCCTCATTTGGTGTTCGCGGCTAAGCAGAGGACCAGAAGCCCTGCCATGAAAGCAAACCGCAGGGCACCCAGGCACAGCTTGCAGCTCAGGCAATCCCTGTGGGCAGCCTCCCCCAAACCCGGTGTCCTTAGATGGGCTAGGCCACAATTCCTATCAGCCGCAACATCTGCAGGGCACCTGCCCGGCGAAGGTGGCTGTATACGTACTAGTGTTGCCCACATCAAAGCGGACCATGTACATGTACACGCATGCAAGACCCTGGGGTCCTGGATGCAGATAATTTTTCTCCTGTCCCTGAAAGAGACAGCTAATGAGCGTGGAGGACAAGAGCGAGAGAAATTCTCAGCACGGCAACATTACCGTATTTTTCCGTGTATAAGATGCCCCCCCCCCCCCGCTTATAAGACGACCCCTATGCTTTGTGCCCCAAATTAAGAAATAAGTAATTGCAACATTCCATGTACAGTGGACGCTCGGGTTGTGAATGTGATCCGTGCAGGATGCACGTTTGCAGTTCGCAACCCGCAGCAGTGCGTCTGTGCATGCGCGGGTTGCAATTCGGCGCATGCGCAACCCCCAAAACCTGGAAGTAACCCGTTCTGGTACTTCCGGGTTTCGGCAGGTACGTAACCCAAAAAAACACAACCTGAAGCGTCTGTAACCCGAGGTATGACTGTAAAAGACAACTCACAATTTTAAATTCAAAAAAATGGGGGGGGGTATAGTCTTATACATGGAAAAATACAGTATGTTCCATGGTTTTCTTTTAACAGGGGAAGGGTTGTAGCTTAGCGGCAGAGCGCATCGAATTGTAGGGTTGGAAGGGACCTCCAGAGTCATCTAGTCCAACCCTCTGCAATGCAGGAATCTCAGCACAGAATCACAGAGTTGGAAGATGGAATGATTCGTTATTATTTTGCAGTGGTCATTAACGCAAGAACTCCAAAGCATTGCACGTGCTGTATCTCAGCAGTCGTCACAGCAGCTGAGCTTAGCTAGGCCAGTCGTTGACCTCAAAAATCACAGAATTGGGACCCCAAGGATCATCCAGTCCAACCCCTGCAATGCAAGAACCACACCTAAAGCATCCCTGACAGACGGCCACCCAACCTTTGCTTAGAAACCTCCACCACCTTCTGTGGGAGTCCGTTCGAATGTCAGACAACTCTTA